AGGACGAGGCCGCCCGATCCATGTCCCTTGCAGAGAGGCTGCAGATGCACCGCCACAAGCACCCGATCCCTGAAGAGGAGGAGACGGATTCGGAGATGGAGGAGATGGGCAGCGATGACTATGATGCTAGGAATTATGCTGATTTCCAGGATGACGAAGAGGGGAATGGGGTTGAGGATGAGGAGGATGAGAGCGCGGATGATAGGGATGGGTTGATTATGGATACGGCGGAGGATGGGGATGAGAGCGAGGATGGTGAGGATGGCGAGGAGTGAAGTCAGATATGTTGGTTATGGGCGTTGCTGGTGTTTGATGTTTATTCATATTATTGTATTTTGGCTGAGTAGAATTCTTTTTATCTGAGGCCGCCTCTCGGTGGTAACATGGGCACTCATGCAGAGAGAGCCTGACTGGGAACATCTTTTTAAGCGACTTAGCAAGTTCACATTGTCTGCCGACCGGCTGGCTGGTAGTAAAAGGGAGCAGAGGTTCAATTCTACCTAAGTGCGCTCAGCATTGTGCCCTGGGGGTATAGTATTAGCTTCGTCACATATATCAATGGAAATCCTAAGCAAGTACTTGATGGGTTTAAAGATTCCAGAGGAGATAAGGTACCAATTATCAACAGGTCCTCAGGCTTGGCGATGTGGAAACCAACCCTTGTCCCAGACCCGACATTTCTAAGCTCACACGTCCTCGCCATCAACACAGGAAAATACCATTCACATTTTGTGACGTCAGGCCCTACACCGCTCAATTACACACGCTCACAGATACTCCATGTCTATGTCTCTTATCTCGACATACTGAGGGGTTGAGTTATGCTTCCCACTTAAATCCTCTTTGGGGGTTCCTTGGCAATTCCATGGCAGTCACTTGGCGGTGGGTTTCAAAGGACTCCTATGCCTATCCCAGGTAAGCCTGAGCTTGTCGTCATCGCCAAAGATGCCGATGCAACCGAGCAGTTGCATTATCGGCAGCATTTCGTCCACAGCGAGTTGCGTACGACTTCCCCACAAACACCGTGACCTAGGATTGGGGAACTAAGAACTCCGGGAGTCGGATTGTCGGGTTCTCGGGAAGGATTGCGGACACGGACATTTCATAGGTATACATGGACGTGACGGTCATGTCGAGAGACTTGCTCTTGTTGGCTCATTTGGCAACTGTCCTATCCCGTACTGCACGTTGCTTAAGCAGAGGGCAGTGGCTCTGGGGTACCACCATAACACGCCCGAACGCTGGGACTTGAACTAGCTGGGAGCATGTCCCGTTGGTATAACTGACGGTTCGGGTATGCGGCTCCTTCATGTTATGCTAGGTATCTCATGGCCAACGCAAGATAAAGCAAGAAGGGTTCATTGATGCAAGGTACCCATTCAGTAAAGGCTCTCATTATCACTAGCTCGTCGTCCTCTCTCTCCGGACATCAACCGAAAATAGCGTATTCCAGCAGAAAGGATCGGTCTCAACAAAGTACCAGGAATCAATAAAGACATGCATCCATCCAGCTTCGGAACCATTGGTCCATAGTGTCTTGCCGAGAATTCCCCAGACTCTATTTTCTCCAGCTTCCGTATCTAATACTATCTTGATACCGTATCAGCGGACATGGAGACTGCAGCCCAAGCTGCCGGCACCGGACCCAGCTGAATGCGCTACTCCCATACCTAAGACATGGCCAAGATGCCTAGATGCTTGATTTCAATACCTTTACCGACAACCACAAAATCCCTATCGCGAGGATCTCGATGCTGTCTCAGTCCGGCTAGGTACCTCCTAGCCGGGCATCCGAGACCGTGATCAAAGGAGAGAATATCGTGGTTTCTTATCTTCAGTATGGGAGTTCTTTGCTAAACTGTCATTTGTGTGGAGCAGGAAAGGGAAGTGTTATCTAGAAGTCTAGAAGCCGAGTCAACCGAACGATGATTAAGCATACATGTATAAGTAGAGCACTATCCTCCCTTTAGTTTCCACCTCTCATCACCATAATCAACTTCATCCTCAACTTTGTTTGCCTACCTGGTACGAGCCAGCAAGACAAGATGCTTGCCGAATCCTGGCTGACGGCCCTTTTGGCTGCGGCCATTCCCTGTGTTGCCGCGCGACCTGACCCGGATCTCTGGCGACGGGCCATGACCGTGGCCGGCGACACCAAAGCCTGTGGACTTTCTGACCCTGCTCCTACCGTCAAGGCTCCAAAGACCAACCCCTGGGCCCCGATCTCTCCCGAGGATGCTGCGGCCGTCTGGGACTACGTGCACTCCCCGGATGTTGGCCTTAACTTGACTGCCCCGGCGAACGCCACCCAGACAGACAACTACGTCTACTTTGTCGAGACACTGCGTGAGTTGCCCTTTCCCCTAGCCGCAATAGAATCCGTCCGCACGCCAAATACTAACACACACGCAAAGAGACCAACAAGTCGCAAGTCTTGCCGTATATCGACGGCGATAGACCCATCCCTGACAAGTACGCACGCGTTGTCATCTTTGAGGGAGGCAAGGAGGTCCCGGTCTCTCAGGAATACATGGTTGGACCGCTGCCCATCGACTCCAAGACGTCCATCCAGAAGCTCGACTACATCTTCAACGGCGGCAGCGGAGGTGCGGTGCCCTACAACGCCCGCTACTACGATGGGAAGAGAAGCGCGGCCTCGGAGCCCCTCCTCAAGTCCATCATGGCTGAAATCGCTGACATCACGCTCGAACTCTTCGACGGTGTGTACTACGGCTCCGGCGACAACCGGACCAACATCACTCCGGGCTCACCAACACCCGTCTCGTTCGATGGCACCCAGGCGTACCGCAACATCATGTTCCGGTACCCTGGGCTCGCAACCTACCTGGCGCCCATCGACCTCTTCGTTCTGCTGGACGTAACGGGCACCGATGCGTCCAAGTACTTCCTCAAGGGCATCGTCACCAACTCGCGCTTCTTCCCAACCGTCGCCGATCTGCGCAAGGCGTACGAGGCCGGCGAGCTGAAGAGCGAGTTCCCGCAGACGCGCAACACGGACTGGGGTCTTCTCAACTACAAGCCCGAGATGGGAGTACGCGACCTCGAAGACCGCCTGGCGCCGCAGAGCATTGAGCTGGGCGGCAAGCGGTACAAGCTGGACACGGAGCAGCAGTACGTCGAGTTCATGGGCTGGTCCTTCTACATGTCCTTCTCGCGGACCTTGGGCATCCAGTTCTTCGACATCCGGTTCAAGGGCGAGCGCGTGTTGTACGAGCTGTCGCTGCAGGAGGCGGCGGCTCAGTACGCCGGCTACCAGCCCAAGGCAGCCAACACCGTCTACCACGACACTTACTACAGCATCGGCACCACCCTCGCAACCCTGGTCGAAGGCTTCGACTGCCCGTTTGGCAGCACCATGCTCAACATCAGCTTCCCCGAGGGCGGCGACACCGAGACGCACCCCGAGGCCCTGTGCATCTTCGAGGCCGACTCGGGCTACCCCCTGGCCCGCCACCGCACCGGCGCCTCCAACGACTACGGCTTCTCGCGCCTGGCGTCCGTCAAGGGCTCGGCCCTGCACACGCGCGCCGTCGCCACCGTCGGCAACTACGACTACCTCTTCGACTACGCCTTCCACGTCGACGGCTCGCTCGAGATCACCGTCCGCGCATCAGGCTACCTGCAGAGCTCGCCCTACTACAAGAACCAGTCCCGCTTCGGCCCGCGCATCCAGCAGGGAACCCAGGGCAGCTACCACGACCACATCCTGACCTTTAAAGCCGACTTCGACATCGTCGACACCCAGAACAGCCTACAAGTCACCGAGCTGGTCACCGTCAACCAGACGCAACCATGGTACCCAGAGCTAGGCAGCTTCGCGCAGATGGAGCTCAACACAACCCTCATGCAAACAGAGCAGCAGTTCAACTGGGCCCCCAACGGGCAAGCCATGTACTCCGTCATCAGCTCAAACCTCACCAACGCCTGGGGCGAGAAGCGCGGATACCGCCTCATCCCAGGCCGCTCCAACATCCACCTGAGCGTGCACGACTCCCCCTGGAGCCGCAAGCAGAGCACCTTCCTCAAGTCCAGTCTGGCCGTGACTAGGCAGCACGACGCCGAGGTCTTTGCCAACAGCTGGCAGAACATCAACCTGCCCGAGGCGCCGCAGCACGACTTTGCAAAGTTCTTTGACGGCGAGGGCGTTGATGATGAGGATCTGGTGGTTTGGTTTAATCTTGGCATGCACCACTTTACGCGCGCCGAGGATATCCCTGTGACGCTTTATACGGAGGCGGTTAGTAGTATTGTCTTTGCGCCGCAGAACTTTAATGATCGTGCCCAGGAGGGGGATCTGCGGAATCGTCGCTGGATCGCTACGGATGCGAAGACGGGCAAGTTGGAGTATGAGGACTATGGCATTGCGCTGCCGACGTGCAAGGTTGAGCTTGAGGAGCCCACGCTCAAGATTAGTGAGTGGACTACTGTCTAGACCAGGGGGTGAATAAAGGGGAAGGTTTATAGAAGGGTGAGGACCTCGTGGTTGGTTAGAAGTGGATGAGATATTGGGAATGATTGGAATGACGGAGAGGGATGGACTATGCAAAGTGGAAGACACAGTTATGAGGAAGCTGGATTAATGAAGAGAGAGTCGGAGTGAACAATAGTTGGGCCATTTCCTCTCTACAACATGAACCTAATATCTGTCCAGGTGAAAGTCAATGCCACCCCCTTTACAACTCATGTTTCGAAAACTCATTTCATCTAAACTTAACTCAAAGTTGCTTCTACAAGCAACCATCCACGAGTGGATACCAACACCCACTTCACCCACAACAAACCCCGAGTCATATACCCGTCCCAAATAAAAACCCCCAGGCCATCCATGCACTCATTCCGTGCGTGCGTGCGTGCGTGCGTGTCCACTCTTCACAGGCAACCTACCTACATAGGTAACCAGGCAGTTGAACACAATTACCCGCCCGTCTCTGCAACCAACAACCAAACCCACTTCGGCTCGCTTGATCAAAAAAGCAACAGCCCGGCTAGCTCAATCGGTAGAGCGTGAGACTCTTACAAACACGGGAGAACCTCAAAAGTCTCTGGTCTATGTTCAATCTCAAGGCTGTGGGTTCGACCCCCACGTCGGGCTCAATTCCCGGCGTCAGATGTTAGTCTGATTCCTTTTTTTTATTATGATCATTGAAAAAATGGTAATGTTTTTTTTTTTTTTTTGTCTTTAGACTTGCGGTCAATTGTGTTGGAGACGCGTGTGCACTACCTCACTCTAGACATAGAGAACTCAAGTGAGGCACCTAGTCAAGATAGAGTTCAATGTAATGAAACCACGCGCCTATGACCTGAATGAACAACTGAGTTTGCCGAGACTAAATAGATTCGCTCGCTGTATTTCTCGTCAAAAGCTGATGCTTGAGTTTGTAGCCAGAGGTTATGACGGTCCACAATAGGAGATGATTATAATTTGGCACACTTAGCATTTAGTAAAACAACATGAGGAAAGGGCGAGAAGAACAGTCGGGAAATATATCAATGAAAGGAGGCATCTTGATGCCATTATCTCACAGCTTGTGCTGTCTTTCATGTCACAATGTACTTGAGATGGATATCTTTGAATATTCTGAGAAGCTTCCAGCACGTACGTACTTGTGTTGTTGAAGAGCAGAGATAATAAACATCATGGGACAAATACTTGAATTGGGACCGACAGACGGCTCGCTGTCGTGACAAATGGCTACCCGGGGCCAAGAGCTACTCGTATGCGCTTGGCGACAGCAACTCGTCTGCGACTCTCAACAACATCCCTCGATGATGATGAGGTGGTGGATAATCATGATGTTCTCAAACGGGTGGGGAGAAGCTGTTTTTGAGCAGAGCTTCATGATCAAGATGAAGAAAGTGGCATGATATTCCCCGGGACGAGTTCATAAAACTCATCAATTGGATTGGACGCAGCCTTCAAGTTGTTTTTGGGTGTGGTGGTGATATGAGAGATGCAGCCTCCGGCCAGGTCCGATGGAAGACGACTGCAGTGTCTCACAGCACACCTTGCGACACCGAGAAAACTCCACATGCATGTATGGAAACAGCCAAGGAAAGGTTTCAGCAGCACATGCACTCTGGCTAAGGCAAGGTATGCAGTGTTTTCCACTTTCAGATGCAAGACTGGCAGGCCGAACCGCGCATATTGCCCAGCGTGGGGGAGGGGGAAAGGGCGGACGGTCCGGGGTACACAGGGTGGTCGGACTGACTAGATCGGAACAAAATCGACATCGTGGTTGCGTTGGGCGTTGACGACGCGCGACTAAAAAATCACCTCATGTCCCCCCTGGCATGCACCAATGCAACCTCCTGCTTGAACAAAACAGGGCAATCCAGCACGCGACGCGGGGAAGCCTGTGAAAGTCCATCCAACGAGGAAAAGAGGCTACGCTAACCTGAAGAGCCCACTCATCATTGAATCCGCCGCGGAGGTGGTGCCCTGTGCGGAGATGGTGCCTGGCGCTTCTGGAGGGGAATGGAAGACCAAACTTCCCGGGTACGGGTGCAGGGCGAAGCGGGCAATTGCCAATGGCTGCAAGGCTGGGCGCGCGACGTGACGTGACACCACCATCAAAGTCATAGGAATGAATTGGCGCAATCCGTTTATCTATGGTGCCAAGGGTTTTCGTTCCCATTGCCCGGTGTCAGTTGTTGGAGGAGAAAAATCGTTCGATCTTTTTTGGTTTTCGCCCATTGGACCGTTTTGCAATGGCGGGCAATGATGCGATGCCGCTCCGCGAAAAGAAAAAAAAAAAAGGTGCAACTGCCTGTCTGCCTTAATTGCTCGAGACGGGTTGAGGTGTAAACGGCATCCCCGGACGTGTCCAGAAGCAGGAAGTGCGTGGCACCATGCGGCACCCGTGGGGGACGGGATTCTGGGTCCAAGGAGAAGGACCTGTTGCAGCAGATGGTGCGGTTTTGGTGCTTGTGGTGGCTGCAGCCTGATCCAAAACGCACACCCGCTCCGGCTTTCGGGGCCCGATCAGCGAAGTCAGAGGGGTCGAGTCGTCCTCTGATTGGCTGACCGTCAACGAACAACCCCCCAATAACCCGCAAAGCTCCGGGGAAGCCTTTTTTTCATGTGCAGCCCAGCCAGTCTGCATGGGCCAGCAAAGCTTGTGAAAAAAAGTCAAGCACATGGACCCGACTGCACTGCACAGCGGTGCACGCTTCAATCTGTCGGAATCTCATTTATCTGCTGGCCGTCCTGCTCCACCTCCGCCTCTAGACTCCATTTCTGGGCGACCGTCTCTGTCTTCTTTTGCGATTTGATCCCAGCACAGCCCGTCCAAAAGCTCCGCAACTTCCTCTCCTTGCCCGACCTGTCCTTTCCGTTCCGACCCATTTACCATCCACCTACTCCCACCATTGTCTTTTCGGCATCGCGGTTTGAAACAACCACCCGCCCAGGACAGTAGCCGTAGCGAGGGAGAAAAGAGCTTTTGCGCGCCTTTTTCTGCAATCCTTACCCTTGCTACCTCCCACCACCGCCTCTATCACTACCACACACATAGCATCAACGCCGCCGACTTACCGCCCGTCATCAACATGTTCGCCTCCAAAGCTCTGCGCCAGGCTGCCCAGCACGCCGAGAGGACCCCTTCTATCAAGTTCCTCGGAAAGCGGACTATCCCTGGTACGTTTGTTTCCCTCCCCGCGCCCGCTGCGTCTCGCTGCACACTGCACGCACCCGTGCATGCACCCGAGACTCGGCCGGCCAGTGGAAGCGTCAAACAAACAAGGCAAACAATAAGCTGACTGGTCTTTTTCTCCCCTGGCACAGCACACATCGACCACACGCCGCAACCTCACCCTGCTTCGCCCACCCACTCGCTGCCCGCCTCCTTCACCAGCGACAAGGGCTCCCACGCTTCCTTCAGCACCTACCGCGACCACGCGCAGCAGTTTGGTCCTCTCCGCAAGACCATCCGGGCCACCGAGGGCGCGGTCGGTGACGCGGCCGGCTCCCAGCTGGGCCCCGTCCACCCTCCCAAGGGTGTCTTTTTCGACCGCAGCGAGCTCCCGGCCCGCTTCCACAGGACGCCCATCAGCCTTGCCGAGATCGAGGCGGTTGAGACGGGCGGCGCCGCCGCGTTTGCTTGAGCGTGGTGACGCGGGTGGTTCTACGCCGGCACGCATGATCGTTGCCGACATAACCGAGTAATCCCGGCGCCTCCGAGAGTAACATTTCCTCGGGGCCGGCTGAGGCATTGCCTCTTTTTTTATTATTCATTTTCGAGACGAGGTTTTTAGGATACCACGGAAAAACGAACGATCCAGACAGACAGACAGACAGACAGACTCATGTACGACAATGACGGTTCATGAGAGCAAGGGACAGGCAGGCAGGCAGCACCAGAGATGGAGCTGGAGCCGGGGCTCGGGATAAAGCATCCGAGCCGGGCTTCCCATCATTTTTCATTATCGTGTCCGCGGCCCGGCGGGTGGAGTAGTCCACGTATGGATTACCCAGGTCTGAGGGCGGGAGAGCAAAAGGAACTTTGAACAGGAGAAACTAGGGGAGGTCCAAAATGTCACTCAATGTCGAGTTGACAAAGCTCGAAGGCGTTGAATCGTCTTCCTGTTGAGGGTTGAGGGAGGTTGCTGTCTGGGGGTTAACGCATTCGTCTTGTAGACAAATACAAAAATACACGTGAAATTCTACAAATACTCCTCACTTGCGTCACCGAGTGTGATGTTGCGCGGCGGGACAAGAGATTGCGTCACATGTGAATGGCCGGCCTAGAGGCATGCCCTGGTTATTAAACAGCTGGACGGGAGGTTACCCGCAAATCTCCAACGGTAGATGTCCCATTGTGTGGTCCAATTGAGTTGAGTAGGCATGTTGTGTTGTAGACCAAATAAAATCGCCGTCGATCCAATGCTGTGACGCGAAGTCCAAACAGCTTCTACAAATTCGCGATTTTCCCCTCATATTCGACGTAGTGTTCCATTGGCTTTCTTCAAAGCCCGAGGTTCGTTCTGTCTTACGTACCAGGTACGAAGACAGTGCGCGCAGCTCCCGTCGATGGCGGGACCCAATGAATGGCTCTAGCGGCCTTGGCGCCCAAGCGCTCCCAGCTGCCAAACTGCACCCAACCGTGACGAGCGCGGGCGCTGAATTTAAATTTCCCGGCCGCCGTTATCCACTGGATAAGGTTATGGTCGTAGCTGAGCTGCTCAACACCCAACCCATCCATCATTCCTAATTGTGGCAAAACCACAAAGATCCATCCCACCCACTCCCCAAAAAATCATGAACACCACCGCCTCGCGATCGACAATCGTGTCGTAATAATGCATACGGACCTCCTCGACACCATCCTCGTAACCAACAAAGACTCGACTGCCTCTCTCCCCCGCAGCCCCGTCACCACCGCGACCGCGACCGCGACCGAAACCGCGTCCACAACTGCCGCAGCAGCAGCAGCTATGAAGAACGACGCACCATCCCCTTCCAACGTCGCCACTGCCGACGAAGCCAAGTGCCCCGTCGACCACAAGACCCGCGAGACATGGATACAGCAGGCCCGCGCCGCCGCTGCCGCCGCTGAGGCATCCGCTTCCGGTTCCACGCCGGCAACGGCTTTACCACCTTCCCACCCCGCCGTGACAACAACAACCGCGCAGCTACCCTCACCAACACCAACACCACCAACAACCTCCACCTGGGCCTCCTGGTCCCCCTTCCGCCTCCCTTTCACCTCACCCACCACAACCCCCTCGCAACAACCACCAACCCAAGTCCCCTCCCCCTCCACCACATCTCCCCCCACCCTCGACGACACCCGCGTAATCTCCTCCATCCCACGCTCCTCCACCCCCGGCCCCTCCGCCTGCCCTTCAAACTCCGAAACCGAAACCGGCGCCTCACCCTCCGGAAAATGGATCTACCCCTCCGAGCGCCAATTCTTCGACGCAATGAAACGCAAGGGGCACACCACCTCCTCCCCCGCGGACATGAAAACCGTCGTCCCGATCCACAACGCCGTCAACGAGCGCGCCTGGGCCGAGATCCTAGCCTGGGAAGCGCCCTACGCGGACGCCAGCAAGTCCTGCGGCGGGCCGAGACTGCATAGTTTCGAGGGGCTG